TTTGCCATTCTCTAATGCTGGAAATCCTAACAACTACTATCGCAGACGACTTCGGACCAGGTGCGTTCTACTAAGTCTCCTCGGAAATAAGACTAAGCTGCGACAACGAGGTCAACCCACTTCTATAAATCGGAAGGAGACTGCGAAAATACCAGAGACCACAACATCTTGGTCTTCACATCTTCAAGGAAAGTTTAGTTTTTTCCTATCCATTTACTCATTCTTGATTTTGCACGTTTTAAACCACAGTTTACACAGATTGAGTCGTAATATAGAGATCGAATTTTACTTCTTTCTACTAAAATGCTAAAACTTTTGCTTCCCTTGAGCCAGAATCTTTTATCTAACCTAAAATATGGTTTGGCCCAATTTCGGCCATTACTTCTATCGTTCAATGGGTGGAATCTACTGACTTACTTTTTTCACCTCTCAGGCTTGTTTCATGTGCCTAAACACATTTTATCCTTTTAACTTTTACCTCCGCTAGACCCCAGGGCTTGCTCAACCCCTTCTCTCCGGTACCGATCAGTTCTCTGGTGGCCTCGATAGTGGTCGCGGCTCTGCCGATAGCAGCAGTGCCTCAAGTCTGGCAACTGCCCTGGCAAACTCCTCCTCGCATTTGTTGCCTACCTTATGCTGTAATGAGGTGGCAACCTGTCGGGATGCTCTGCTACCACCTGCAGGTGGCCGTGGCTCATGCCAAGTCTCTCCACTGATCCTCTGCAAGGCTGCTGCTCATGATAATTTAGCTGGCGCTTGTAGTTACTCCTGCGAATGTGGTCTCTCGGTTCCTGCTGCTGCGACCTCAACAGTCGCTGCCTGCAACGGTGTGATGACCTCTTGTCGGCGCTGCTCACTCTTTTCACGAATCTTATCCTCAAGACCCATTCCCAGTTCTTTTACACAGACAACGACATTAGGCTCTGACATTTATCTCAATCCGGTTGCCTACCTTGCCAACAGCCTCACACATTGTCAGCTACATTTTCCTTTGATTAGAGGACGCTCGCCATTTGTGCCTCATGCTTCGGAGCATAGTTCTGTGCCAGCTGTTGTGCATCCACTGCACTCGCAGCAACCGTTGAGTCCTGGACATTCTCGGATCAGCATGGCACCTCTAACGACCAGCAAACATTTAACAACAAACGCACCAGCAAATCTTGCAAATATACCGTCATCTTGCATCCTCGGTTCACCTGTTACTACTGGGCTCGGGAGTGGAATAAAATGGAGCAAGCGAGGGCTTAGGGTGAGCTAGGCTGCTTGAAAGAGTTGCTGAACTCA